AGTTATTTTCTAGCTCCAACATGCTACAGTAGTGAAAATCCCACGTTCAGACCCGGTGATGATGGCTTGTTGCAATGCAAACCACTGAGTGTTCAAAGAAATGATGATCTTGCAGTTAAGTCACTGGCCTGGCTTTTCATTCCTGGATTTGTCACAGGGTTTCTGTATGAACTCTGACAAGTCTTTTAATCTCTTTGTGCCTTGATTCCCCATCTGTAAATTAGGAGTAACACCCTTTCCTTTTCCCAATCTGCAACTTGTCCATTTAGTTTTTCAGCTTTTTGGGACAGATACTGTCTCACTATTTATGTGCAATGTCTAGAGGCAGTGTGACCCTGATTTTGTATTATAAGCCTGCAAATGTTACCCCAGCACAAATAATAAATAGCAGCAACATAAAGGACTCTCAGCTCAGGTCCTGGATGCTGATGAAGCCAGTAAGAGCACAAATGGCTGACAGAAGTGCCCTGTACAAGGGCAGATCCAGAGAGGGTATAATGTTGTGGCTGCTCACTAGGGGTGTGCAAAGCAGGCAGTATTCAATTTGGATTTGGCCCAATTAAGGGGACAGTGATTCTATTCACTGATTTAAATCACTGTCCCAATTCAGTTTGGCCAAATCTGAATCTGAAGATTTGATTCTGAGTCAGAGAATCAGCAATTCAGCCACAGACACACCAGAAGTACTTCCAGTCCATTTCTGTGTCTGCCGCCGAGTGCGCGGGGGACCCCCCTCCCACCTCACTGGCTCAGCAATCAGCCATGAGGGGACCCTGGGTGCCCCCCCAGACCCAGGAGGCACCAGTCGCCGAGCTGGCAGGGCGGAGGGGGGGGTCCCCCAGAGACTCCACGGAGGACCCAGAAGTGGACCGGAAGTACTTCTGGTCCACTTCTGGGTCCACCACTGAGTGCACGGGGGAATCCCCTGCACTCCTGTGGGATACTCCATCCGCTCCACCATCTTATCATTCACGAGCCATGCTTGGTACCTCGAGGCATATACTAAAAACATATAAAGCTGCGTCTATGGACAAATTGTCAAATCTCTCTGAATTGAATCAGAGGCATACAATCCAATTCAGAGAGATTAATGGGTCTCCTGATTCGATTTGGATTCGGAGATTTGGCTGCCGAATCCAGCCAAATCTCCTCTGAATCAAATCAGCAACCAAAGCTTTGCACAGCCCTACTTCTCACTTCCCCCACCCCCACACCTTGTGACTGGACTATGCCACAGGAGACTCTGAGTGCTTTCTTAAAATCCTCAAAGCAGGTGAGAACCCCTCCCTTCTCTTCCATGCACAGAGGCATATCCATTCCCATCTGTTTCCCCACCTCCTCCTCTTGCTGCTTTCCACACTGTCAAGGGGCAGGAAGAGCTTCAGAGCCACTCCTGCCCACTCCAGCCATGCTGTGTAGGGGGTTGGCCTGTTGTGATAGTGGCAGAAGCAGCGTGATGGAGGAGAAGGTTTCCCCTCCCTGTGCCTTCTCCCGGGGGATCAGGTAGGGTGGGAGAACCCACTTGCCTACCCATCCCATCATATTTCCAACTGAGCCCAGCCCCTGTGCAGCTAGGCTGGAGTGGGCACAAGTGGCTATGGAGCTTTGTCCACCCTCAGGGCAGCAGGGAAAGGGACAGGGAGGGGATGTGACTCTGACCAGGGAGGGGAAGGGACCCAGGACTCTTACTTGGTTAAAAAGTTTGCAGAGGCTCCCCCTGCCTTGTCTGCCCACTCCATTGGGTGTGGGGGAGTGGTGGGGAGAGACTGGAGGTGGGAGCTGCAGCCACCCCTACAGCAGAGGTCACTGCTCCCACATCCCCACTTGACAAATCCTAGATCTGCCCCTGGTCCTGCATGTAGCAGAAGAGGGAGATGAGCAATCCTGTGAAGTTAAATTTGGCTCTAAGTTTTAGAATTATGTGAAAATGTATGTTCACATATTTGGCTCTGAAGGCATGGATTCTGGATCTGCAGAGGTGACTAGGACGCGAGGAACCTGCATTAGGTATCTTATTTCAGATCTTTGAATTGTGGATGTATTCTGCTACTCCAAACCCTTTTTAGATCCTCTTTTAAAAATGATATCTTGATTTTAAAAATATCTTGAAAGGGAGAAAAATCAAATGTTCTTTTTTAATAGTTGTCTTGTATTTTTTAATAGTTGCAGCAGGGGAGAGTATAGAGCAGAGATGAAACATTTCTTTCTTTTTTTTTTTAATCTCCACTAAATGTAATTCTGCACCTGCTGTGGCAACTTCCTCCTACAACCTCATCAATGACCTCAACCTCAGTCTGGAGGGACAAAACTCGGGAGAGGTGAAAGGTCAACCAAAGTATTGACTAAGGCTGTCCATGCTTAACTATGAGATCCTGTGCTCTTTTTGAACATAACAGTTTCATCAATTTCAGTCCCCTGCTGGCACACAAAACTGGAGCTGGTAGGGGAGTGGAGAGATGTTGCAGTGTGTATCCATGCATTAGCTCCACTTGCATAGCTGTCGCTCAAAACATACTTAACTTCCTGGTTTGGTTTTGTTGGGGTCACTCAGCTTGGCAGCTGGGTTATACAGATCATTGCAGCTCTCATGCTGGAGAGAGGATATATATATAGCCCCTATATATACACCAAACCAGGAAGTTAAGTCTGTTTTGAGTGACAGCTATGCAAGTGGATATGCATGGATATACGGCTATGCATGGATACACACTGCAACACCTTTCCATTCCCCTAGCAGCTCCAGTTTTGTGTACCAGTTATATATATAAATGGAAATGCAAAAAAAAAATGCAAGTTGGTGTCCATCAGGCTTGATAGCATCTGGTCACACTATGGACCTTTTGAACTAGATATTTGGAAAACCTCCAAAATGTTACCCTGAACTTCATGCTCAGGAGCTGGGATACTTAATCATCTGACTTGTACAAGCAAAAGCTGTTTTCATGTGCAAACTCAGAGATTTGCACCCAATTTGAATGTGCATATTTAAATGCACAAATTTAGGGATTGGATAAAAACTCCTTTGAAAATGGCCTTTTAACATCCCTTTAACTCTGTACACATGGCCTATTGTCAGATACTGTTAAGATTGTCTGTGCTTCTATGGGTATGTTAACATTGCTCTTCACTGTAGAGATAGCTGAGCAAGCTTCTACCAAACTATCTCACTTACTAGAAACATTCCCCAGCATTGTTCTTCACGTTTGCTAATTTACCCTGCTGAAAAAGGTTTATTTTGGTAATCAAGGGGAAATAGCCTGCCTGGAACTCCACGCTGTCATGGCTAGGCTGCTCATGGTACCCAAGCTAACCTAAGCATCTCTACACTGCAATACATTTTACAGCACAGACACTCTAAAATGCTTCTAAATATTTCCCAGTCAATCTGCATGTGGAAGCAGTGGCACAAAATTCCTTTATAACATTTTTAAAAGGGTGGTTTCTGGGTTGGAAGTTAGTCTGCATTCTCAGAAGCCTTGCTTTGCATGCTGTTGTCATTCATGTATGCCAAAGAAATACTCATCCATTGCCCATTAGCTTTCCTATCTGGATAGATACATAGACACTAGGGCGGTGCAAAATTTTGTCTGCCGTTTCATTTTGACACTGTTTTGACCAATTTGGAGGTCAAAACAGCAAAATCAGAATGAAACAAAGACTGTTGAAATAGCCTCAAAACAAAATGAGGCTAGTCGAAACGTTTCGAAAGTTGAAACATTTTGACCATAGGCTGGGGATGGGAAGTTAGTCCAGCTGGGCTGACTTCCAATCCCCAGCGTAAGATCCAGCAGGGGGACAGGGAACTCAGCCCAGCTGGGTTGACTCCCCAATCCCCATGCTAGATCCCCAGCCCCGGTGCTGCATCGCACTGGGGGCAGGAGGCAGCCTAGCTGGGCTGTTTCCTCATCCCCGGTGCTAGATCATGCTGAGGGTGGGAAGCAGCCCTGCTTTCTCATCCCCGGCGCTAGATCACATGGGGGGTGGGAGGCTGCCTGGTCTAGCGCTGGGGGTGGGAAAGCAACCCAGGTGGGCTGCCTTCTGCCCTGGTGCAATCTAGTGCCCCAGCAAAACATTGAAACAGCGTCGAAACAGTCTTTTTGCTTCAATGGAATGAAACAAATAGCTGTTTTGACTCTAAATGAAATTTAAAACAGAACGCTGTTCCATCAAACCATCAAAATTGAACGCAAAATGGAACAGTGCTGTTTCACACAGCCCTAATAGATACCTACCCACTACTCTTCTGATTCCCTCTCGTCTGCACAAAGGTAATGCCACTGTTTTCTCAAAGGATGGAAAAGGATCAACAAGTTATTCATCCTTCTCTGTTATCCCCAGAGTGATATTACTGTTTTACATGTTACTTAGGGCTTAAATGTTAATAAGAAATGAGCTTCTGTAGCCCTTCAGTGGGACTAAAATGTTCAGGTTTGGTGGTATTTGGATACAGGATTATTGTTGCTCATAGAAGACACATCCTAGTAAGCTCAATGTGTCAGAAGACCAGTACAATGAGGCTTCAAATCAACTGTAAGGGGACTGAAGAGAATTTTCAAGGCACAGGGCGGTCTTGATTTAGTATTATACCAGTCCTACTTGGCACAGAGGACATATCAGGGGCTGCTGTGGACAGGCCAGTGGTATTCCACAATGGGGAGAGTTTTGATGAAGCCTGAAGTGAAGGGCACTGGAGTCATCTGCTACTCTCCAACCACAAAACAGTCTCTAGAAGACCATTCTAGCCATCATAAATTAGAATAACTCTTGGGTTAATTTAGTCAGTTAGGCTACTGGTTGCCTTCAGAATTAGGGAATAGATAAAAGTGGTTTAGTCACCTTCACCTTTCTCCTCACCATTAAATGCAGAAAGCATGAGCTGAGGCTTACACCTGGACTGTCTCACAGACAGCTGATAAAATTAATTAAAATAATGAGTTAAAAGAAAATGAAAATATAGGGAAATGGATACTAAAAATAACAGCTTATTTATTGTTTTTCAGCAATTATTTTTGTGGAATATCGATTCTCAGTCTTGCAGCTTCACTGTGGACCAGTTTTTGGTTGAACTGAAGGCCGGAGGGATAAGTGAAGAACATGAGGCAGCTGTACAAAGGGAACTGCAACATATCCAAAAACTAGATGTTCTGGATTTCCTGACTTACCTGCCACTCTTTGTTCTTATCCATAACTCTGTCATTGCCAATCCACTGGATGATTCAAGAACAATTTGACAAACTACGTCAACTCTAGCAGAAGGGAAGTTGGTTTGTCATGAAGACTCTTAAAGTTATGTCTACATGTACAGCTTCCTTGTCTAGCCCAGGAAAACCACCAAAAAGACAAGCACCATCCACTCACTCCCACTTCTCCTGTGCCTACATCTAACAATTAGGCAGAACAGACAAATCAGTGTACACGGCTCTCAGGTTTTCTTAAAACAAAGGACTTGAGAGCATTTCTGAGCCTTTCTTTCTCCTTTGATTACATACCAACCTTGAGTGCAGGCAGATTGGGAGTGAGTGAATGGCCTTGTTTCTTAGTAGGCTCAGCAGAGAAGTGAGGAAGACATAGTGTCAAGTGAACATTTTCTTTTAAACAGCTCTGACTGTCTTTGTAAAGGCAGACAGGAACTACACTGGGGTAGCTTTGCAACAAAAGTGCAGTTCAAACCAGTACACTGATCCATGTAAGTAAATCAAAACCCAGTCTGCAGCCCTCACTCACGTTAAGTAGCCCTTGGAGGAGCAAATCAGATAGAGGCTGGGGTACTGAGCTTTGCATCAACAGTTTACTCAGTGGGAATGTAAAGTTGAGGGTGGAATTGGCACACATGACAATTGTCTGTAGCCCTCCTCAAACTGTACTTAAAATTAAATGAGACAAGTCCAAGTGAAGAAAATGGAGACATACGATCAAGGAAACCCATTTCTATAGATGAAGGGCCAGATTTTCAAAAGGTTGTGGCAACCATGATTGCTCTCAAGCTGAATACTTCATTTAGGTGCCTGAAATGGAAAGAGCTGGTTGTGGGCTCTTAAAATCATAGAATCATAGAAGTTGGGTCAGAAGGGACCTTGTAGATCTTCAAGTCCGACCCCCTGCCTGGGCAGGAGAAAAAACTAGGCTCAAATGATCCCAGCTAGGTAGGCATCAAGCCTCCTCTTAAATACCCCCAGGGTAGGAGCCAGCACCACTTGCCTTGGAAGTTGGTTCCAGATTCTAGCCGCCCTGACAGTGAAGTAGTGC